AATTTTCCCTCTCCTTCTTTCATCATCAATTGTTCAATTAAAGCCCCCTCTCTCTCCCCTTCCCATTTTGTTATCTCTTAACACTCTAGTCCTCTTCATTTTTTTTTTTTTTGCGAGCATGACTTGCTAACCAAGCAAGGATGGATCGATGAGTCGGCTAAAGGAATCAAAATTGTTAGAAAACCGGAAAGGATCGAAACCATTTTTGGTTTCCCAATGCAAGGGACGAGTGAACAAACATTCACCATCTTTAGTAAATTGACAAAACAATCCTCTCACTTCTAGAATTTTTCATTCATGTCCTCCGATTCCTTTCGATTATTCCCTTAATTCAACTTGATTTTTTGTTCAATTTGGCCACCATTAGCTTCCAACTTCAAATTGATTTAACGTAATTATGCCCTTTGATTAAATCTATCCATTCAATTTTGTATTTTATGTATTTTTATTTTTTTTATATATATTTTTTATTTTTTAATAATAAGTACTAAAATAAAATAAATAAAAATAAATACATAAAATAAAAATGAAGTGAAAAATGAAAAATGACATAAAGTAAATAACAAACTAAGATAATAAATAATAATACAAAAGGATTAATTGAAATAACAATAACAATAACAATAACAATAATAGAAATAAAAATGGATAAAATTAAGAAAAAAATATAACCTAAACTTTGGGTGATGAAAATAATTTTTTTAAAAAAATTTCTTATGATGATAGATATGGTTGAAGAGGGGAAAAAAAGTAGATGAAAAAAAAAGCATTAAAAAATGCAATTTGAAAAAAAAATAGAGGAGTAAGAGCGCATTATTATTACTCTAATAAAATATTATAAAAATATTAAGTTATTGGTGAAATTAAAATAAAAAATAAATAATTAAATAATTAATTTTTAAAATAAAAAATAATTAATTATTTTTTTTAAATGAGAGGTCCCAATTTATGATTTACTGAAGTTCTAATGTCAACCTGACGTTGTCATCATTATCTCTGCTGACAACTGCTGCATGTGTTTCATTCATTAGCACAGGCTATATATTTTCGTCTTCTCTTTTATTGAACTTTGAGCTTCTTCTTCCATCCAAGTGCGCATGAAATTTCGCTGTAACGAATTTAATTAGTTAATTGGTCATTGATATTGTTCATTACTGTCAAACTGATATCTGAACGAATTCTGAAGATAATTTAGGATGATCTACCTAGAAAATATAGGTAGATATTCCAAAGAAAGTTCAACGTTATCTACATGCTTTTTTCTTTCTTCCTCTAGCGCGTTGTAGATTCGCAAGAGATGCATGATTTGAAAAGGTTGGGGCGAGGTTGCAACCAATGCTACTTGAAGATACTCGATTGATGAAATGAACGGAATGACCAATTAATTAGTTGTCGTGACTCGGGTGGCCTGTCGTAGGAGTCCGCTTCTACCGAATTTCAGCAATCTTCATTAAATATACTTGAATTTATTAGTGATAGTATTATTTGACCAAGAGTATAGCTCTATAGGAAAAGTAAAAAAATATAGTAGCTGTAGAGAATAATTTTTTCTTTTATATCTCTAGTTTCCTTTTTCATTTCTAAGTTTTAGTTATGGAGAATAGCTTTTCATCTACTATCTCTAGTTTTCTTTTCTTTTTCAGATCTCTTTTTTTCTATAAATAATGTAAAAAATGTGTTCATGTGTTGATTTTTTTTTAAATTCACTTTGAAATTTGAAAAACATGTTCAAAAACAAAAAAAAAAATCTAAAAAATGTTACTTTTAATGATATTTATTTCTTATAATATCACATTAATCAACTTTAATATATTTTCATGTATTTTATTACATGAATGAATGAGTGATATTGCTCATAATCTTGTTATGATTTTTTTCAAGATCAACAATAAAAAAAATTCAGATAAAAATGTATAATGATAAAAATTAGTATGACTTGTAGATCTCTTAAAAATCATAAAACAAAAATGAGTTTTTGCATTAATGTGAGTTTATAGAATTTGTATAAATGGTAAAAGATGTTTTTGTTACTTCAAAAAAAAAGAAGAAAGATGGAAACGCATGTTTTTTTTTATAGAAATTATGAAAAAAAAATAATGGAAGAAACTTAAAAAATGAATTTTTAATTAGTGGAACAGAATAGCTAATAAAACGCCTCATATATTTTGGTCATCTAAGCTCATTTCAAATAGTATAAAACAAGATCTTAAATCGTATGAAATGTATTAATATTTGTTCTGTTTTTTCAACTAGTACATATATAATGTAACAATTATGAAATGTAATCTAAATATATAGACCAACACTAAAGATGTTGATTTTGTAAATCCCGAGGGCGTGATCCTTGTAAAAGCAAAATGAGAAAAAATTTTAGTCGAGACTTGAGAAAACGTGCGACACAGATGGAGGCAATGAGAAAGAAAATGTGTGTGGGGTTGGTGTTAAAAAGGTGCAGCTTTATTCTAGTGAAAGTTTTTGGACCTTAAACTCGAAGGCATTTGCTAGAATTTCACTTTTTAACTTACGTTGAACCTGCAGGGACTGGGGTTAGGAGAAGAGAGAAACAGGGAGGGTAGATTGAGAGGGCTTTTAAAAGAGTATAACTGTCAATTTATAGGAAAATAAAAGGAGTGGGACTCTGGCAATAACGAAATGGTGGGCGATCCTTCCGTGTATTATGAAGAAACTAAGAATCAATTATGAGGCTATCACACATTATTTGTATTACGATAAACTCTTTAAATAGAGTTTTAGAGATAGAATTATAGTTACGATAAGTTACCTGAAAGATAGAGTTATAATTATAGAATCTAACTCTTGTCTAACTCCTTTCCCGATATATACACTAACAAAAACTTACCTTATCATCCTCCCTCAATCGGAGCTACAAGAAGAACGATTAGTTTGTTAACGTGGTGAAAGAATTTATATTTGGATGAAAATTTGATCATGACATCGACTATCCGATCCTTAATAGAAATGTAGCACACAAGTAATTCGTGTTTGCTTACTTTATCTCGAACACGATGGAAATCAATTTTTAAGTGTTTAGAAGAGGTATGAAACATTGGATTAGTCGTGAGATAGGTCGCTAAAAGATTATCACACCATAAGATTAGTTGTGTTTGGAGAGAAAACCCAATCTCACACAAGAGGGATTGAAGCTAGGTGACTTCGATGTTGTTGTTGCTAGGGCTTGATATTTAACATCGAGTGGATGAATGAGCCACAATTTTTTTATTTGTGTGATGTCCGGAAAATAAGGTTACTACCAAGAAAAATATCAAAACTCACCGTACTTTTTCTATCAACCAAGTCACCTCCCCAATTAGCATTTTTGTAAGTTGATATATGGAGAGAAGATGATAGGGTAAGGAGTAGTCCGTGACTTGAAGTTCCTTTGAGATATCTTAAAATTCGTTTACTAGAGCACCAATGCTTTAGTTGTACGAGCATGCATAAATTGAACAATAAGGTTGATGGCAAAGGAAACATCCGGTTGTGAAAGTAAGATACTAAAGTTCACCAATAATACTTCTAAACATGGTTGGATTGTCAAAAACAGTAGTGTCCTAAATGGATGAACGAGGACTACCAAGTGCGGCCATAAGTGGCGGCATCATGCATAAGCACCTGTTTTAAAATATCATGAATATATCCGAATTGATATAGGTCTAGTCCTCCTTTGATTCAAGTCACCCCTATGCCAAAAAAATAATAGACGGAACCAAGGGCTTTAATAGGGAATTGTTTTTGAAGACCAATGATAATCTTTCCGATAAGGCATTGATTATTGTCAATAAAAAGCATATCATTAACATAAATGAGACATTAGACATTATATATGCCTTGACGATAGGCTATGAGGGGAGAATCCATTTTGGAACCTATAAAACTCAACTAACAAAGTGTATTAGTGAAGCTATTAAATCACATGCGAAGGGCCTATATGAAGCTATAAAGAGACCATTTGAGGGCATAAACATGTTAGGGAAGTTGAGGATGAATAAAACTCAATGGTTGTTCTATGTACATTGGAGTATCTAATTACATGTAGGAAAGCATTTGAGGTATCTAGTTGTTCAAAATGCCAATTATAGGTAATTGTCAAGGAGAGAATAAGATGAATGGTGCTAGGCTTTGCCACTAGACAAAAGGTGTTAGCATAATCAAGGCATGGTCACCGATGACAACATTTAGCTACCAAACGAGCTTTGTAATGATTAATGAAGTCTGTTGGGTAGTCGTTTGATATGATAAATCTATTTACAATAAATTATGTTTGGAGCTTGGGGATAAAGAATAAGATCCCAAGTTTAATTGGTTAGAAAGACATCAATTTCATCATGCATTACTTATCTCCATATTGGATGAGTTCTTTCCATGGTATACAAAGTGGGTTTAGTAGTAAGAAGAGAGACTAAGGAAAGTTTTAGGCTTAATGCTCTCTATTTTTATGTGGGTCAGCATCGAGTGAGAGGTAGGTGGTGACTCGTCATGGCTTTGTGGGAGCTGGTAGTTGGTAAGAGGTAAGATCAACTCCGTAAGGTGAGAGGCTGATTCGCGATTGGTTATATAGGAATGACAGAGTTAGGAGATAATCTAGATGGAGAGAAAAAAGATAATAATGGTCGGGAATAGAGCTGGTGATTTTTATTTGGCATAAAAGGTGAGATCAATTGCATGTAGGAAATCATTTAAGAATCTAGTTGTTCAAAATGTCAATTATAGGTAATCGCCAAAGAGAGAATGAGATGAATGGTCTTAGGCTTTGCCACTAGACAAAAGATGTTAGCATAATCAAGGTTTGGTCACCGATGACAACCTTTAGCTACCAAATGAGTTTTGTAATGATTAATGGAGTCGTTGGGTAGCCGTTTGATATCATAAATCTATTTACAACCAATTATGTTTGGAGCTTAGGGACAAAGAATAAGATCTCATATTTCATTGGTTGGAAGGGCATCAATTTCATCATGTATTACTTATCTCCATATTGGATGAGTGATTTCCGTGGTATACAAAATGGGTTTAGTAGTAAGAAGAGAGTTAAGGAAAGTTTTAGGCTTAGTGTGTCCTATTTTTATGTAGGTAAGCATCGAGTGAGAGGGAGGTGGTGGTTGTCATGGCTTTGTGGTAGTTGGTAGTTGGTAAGAGGTGAGATCAATCCGCAAGGTGAGAGGTTGACTCACAACTGGTTGTATAGGAATGATAGAGGTAGGAGACGATCTAGATGGAGAGAGAGGAGATAGTAACGGTCGGGAACATGGTTTGTGATTTATATTTAGCATAAGAAAGGTATGTAGGTCTAGGCTTGTAGTGGGCTTTTAGGGGGAGAAGGCCATGAAGGCAAATAAGAAGGTGCATTTTAGGCTAGAAGAGTATGGGCCGAGTGTGAAAGATGGGTTTATGGGCGAGGCGAGTCTACAAAGTAGTGGGCTAAGTGTGAAAGATGGGTTTGTGGGCGTGGCGGGTCTACAAAGTAGTGGGCTAAGTGTGAAAGATGGGTTTGTGGGCGGGGTAGGTCTACAAAGTAATGGGTCGAGTGTAAAAGATTGGTGTTTAGGCTAGGCGGGGCTATAAAGTAGCGTGCTAGATGTGATGGGTCTTGATGGTGAGTTGATTAAAAGGAATGGTAGGTTTTTTAAGGGCAAGAGGTCGGATAGGTACGGAGGTAGTAATTAGCAATGAAGGAAGAGAAATATGGGTACCGGTAGGTGGATTTGGTAAAATTATGAAGGGAGTATCCTTGACGAGTATATGGAGCACTATCATTGGCTTCTTTGAAACGAAAAACCTACTCATAAAAAAATAACATGGTGTGAGATATAGAGTTTATTAGAAGTAATATCAAGCACTTAGACCTTTCATATAATAGATCGTAGCCAAGAAAAACAATATGATGTGAACGAGGCTCCAATTTATTTTTAGCATATGATCGAAGCTATAGATAGCAAAGACAACTAAACACATATAAATAATCATAATAAAAAATTTCTTGTAAAAAAATTTTCATGTAGAGTTTAGGATTAAGTAAAGAGGTAGGAAGACGATTGATACCGTAGACAATAGTAGAAAAGGTATGATTTCGAAAGTGTAAAGAGATGGATACATGATGAGGTAATGATGTGCCAATTTCAGTGATGTATCTATGTTTTCTTTTAGCATAGCCATTTTGTTCGGTGTGTGTGGACATGAGGTACGTTATGCAATGCCATTTTGAGCTAAGTAAGATTGTAGGCTTTGAAATTCACCCTCTAATTAGCTTAAATTGACTTGTTGAAGAATTTTTCATCCAAATACTAAAATTTGATAAAGAAACTTAGAAATTTTCATTTATATTAAAGAAAATATATCTAATTATATTTGCTATAATGATTATAAAACATAATATAATAGTTATGACCTTATAGAGATGGAATCGGCGATGGTCCCTATAAATTAGAATATATAGTTTCCAAAGGAGCAATTGCTTGAGAAGTTGAAAAAAAAAATGAAAGTTTATGTGCTTTGCTAATACAAGCAAGCATAACATAAAGAGTTTGCATTTTTTTGTCTAAAACGAGATTTTGTATTTTTTATCCGAAACGAGATACTAGAATGACTCAAAACTTTAGCTATTGTATGTATTAAAGCATAGCCTAAGCGAGCATGCCATATAGAGAGATTGCATGAGTAAGCTTGAATAGGGTGTCGTGAGGAAGGTGGTTCAAACGGCATGATGTAAAGACCATTATCTAGAGGTCCTTTGTGAAGGATTTTCTTTGTGCGAATATCCTTGATTAAGAAATAGTTAGGAAAAGTAAACTAAAAGTATAAGAATAATAAATTTTTACAAGAATAGAAACATGAAGAATATGACTAAGAGTATAAGAATAATTTTATAGAGATACAAAAGATGAACCAATATGATAAATAGAAAGGGTATTACCCTTATTGTGACCTCTGCAAGACCTAAGTATTCAAAATGAATGATTAAGTTATCAAGGTCAATCATTGGATTGTACATGGCTCCACTATCAAGGACCCATTTTAGGTTGGTTTAGGTTGAGGTGAGATGGAGTGTAGGAGTAGGGAGTAGCAAGGGATAAGGATTAGTGGAGTATTTAGGAGAGGAGTAGGTGGAACTAAGGTGCCCAACTCGTGGCAATTGTAGAAGAATAATGTCGTTGGAGTAGAAGAAGAAGAAGGATGCCATAGCCGACTATGTGATCGACGGGAGGAGAGGTGGTTGGAGGAGCGATCATGTCCCCTCCAACGTCTTCTTCCACGAAAAGCAAATTGATGTCATTGGACATAGTGAGCAATATGGAGAATTTCAAATGGAGGAGATCTTTCTCTCTCTCTCTTCAATTGCATTTCTTCACTTAGGAGTAAACCAAATAGATCATCAATGGTGATTGATTGAAGTCAAGCTTCAATATTTTGGGTGAGTGGTCTATAGGCAAACCTTAGGCCATGTAAAATGGCATCAACAAGATCATCTTCTAATAGGAGATGTTGAAGAGCTGCAAGATGATTGGAGATGTGCTTGGCACCCACTGTATGTGGGTGGTGATATTGTCATTTTTACAATCCAATTGGTGGAGATGAGATTTTAATTGGCAAACATGGGATCCGGAGCCCGGTGCTAGGTGGTATCCAATTTTTGTCAAGTTTCACAAGTAGATATGACACCAACTACTTGAAAGATAACCCCTTTAGAGAGAGAGAGAGAGAGAGAGGTAATTATCCAGCTAAGGACTAGTTGGTCTTTGACAAAGCAATCTAGATAAATTGGGTTAGGAGCCCATCAATTTGGGGGTGGAGATTTAAAAACATAAACATGATAAACATGAGTCATGACTCTGTAGTCCTAAAGAATGAGTGTGATTTGGAGAGCCACGAACATATTTTGTGGAGTTTAACTTGAGGGATAGCTGATGTTGACCATAGGGAAGGGTAGTGATTAGTGTGATGGCTTGATTGGGTGCTTCTATAGAAAGATCAATGGATTAGGAAGAAGAAGAAGAAGATGTCATGATTATTGTCGTAGGAGCTCCGGTGAAGCCTTGGGATTTTTGGTGGAATTGAAGGCGCTGGCAGTTGGTAGACAAGAAGAAAGTAACGGTTCAGAGGTACAGATGGATTTGTGATTTGGCTAGGGAGATAAAAAAGGAGAAGAAATTAGCGGTTTTACACAAGAAGAAAAGAGATGCTCATACGTTGGCTGTTAAGCTGGGGGTAGGCTCTGGTAGCATGAAGCAACTAATAATCAATTGGCTATCACAAATTGTTTGTATTATAATAAACTTTTTAAATAGAGTTTCAAAGAAAAATTACAATTACACAATTACAGTGCTAGTGAAAGATAGAGTTACAGTTACAATGCTAACTCTTATCGAATTCCTATCCTGATGTACATACAAATAAAAACTTATCGTTATCATACTGCAGATCACAGACTTACAGCCAACAGCACGAGTACCCAGTTATCGTATTGGTAACTGATGTCTGCCAGCAGTCAACTCTTATGCAATGACAAGTCTCCTAAAACACGTCAAAGGGTATGATTGCGTTGAGCGTTGGAACATGTGAATTGCAGACGTTTTTGGAGTCTGAAGATATGTTCGAAGTGCTGGATCATCTTTATCTCCCAGTTTTTGAGGGTTCTCGCTTGCCAATAATCAGTAAAGAATACTTTATGAGTTTTTATTTTTTTCTTCCAATCCTTAAATTATAGTAGGGTGTTTTAATTCAAACTCTTTACTCTTTTGTTTTAGACTCTCTTTATTTTATATTTTAAATATCACAAATAAGTTACATGCTTTCCTAAGAATCATCTGAACGCATAAAAAAGTTAAGTGGTTGATTTTTTAGTGACATTTCTATCACACTATAAATTATATTTTTATTATAATATTGGTTGAATTGAATTTCTTGATACGATTTGATTGATTTTTTTTTTTATAATCTTTTGATATTTTATAAGAAAATAAATGCAACTAGAATGTTATCTAACATAAATTAAGCATAATAATACTACTTAAAGTTATTAATTAATTAAGTTTTAAAATTGAAAGGACTAATTTATAATTTACTCTTCATTAAGCTGTAATTAATGGCGATAGTTTACTTTTGATTTAGAATTTCCTATATAATATCGTATTAGTGTGTTTTCTGAAAATTCCAACTTATCGTAGCTATTAAATATTATCTAATAAAAGATTAACTTTTTAAATTTTTTTCTTATTTGTTTCCCTTGGTTTCTCTCAAATCCTTATATAGTGCATCTCATGAAAATTAAGAAAACCTAAAAAATCTGAGGAAAAAGAAAAGAAAAGAAAAGTATATATATATATATATATAATCAATTTCAATATTGAAAGGCCTTACTTTTTAATATTGCATATGGGTACTCAGGGCTAATAATGGGCAGATGAAATTTGAAAATTTTTAAAATTACAAAGAATATCAGCAATTTCTAAAATAGAGGAATCATTTAAGAAGGAATTAATAACATGAAACCATTTTCTACTCTTGATATATTTTTTTAATATAATCTTTTTATTTTTAATTTTTTTTATTGCATACCGTTATTTTCTATATATATATATATATATATATATATATATATATATATATATATATAATATGTGACTCCCACAAAGTTTTCCGGTCAAGATTTTTCATTACTATAGGATTCATTGCTATCAACTTTTATTTTTTTATACTAATCTTATCACTGATTTCGTTTTTTATTAAATAATTATTTTTTCAATTCAATTAAATTATACTAAATTAATTAAAATTGAAAATATACATATTGAATTAATTGGAACGTTCGAGGTCTGGCAAAAGATAGCGCGAGACTGCGAGTTTGTCCGAAATGCAAAACATGAATTATTTTTCGATCCTTTTTCTACGCAATTCACTTGAAAAGGCGGAATCCCGTCTCATTTCCCTATAAATAGACGATGCTGCTTTAAATATGATCATAGTAGCAGTATATATATATATAATTTTCTCAAGTTAATAGGGAAACCATCGGTGCCCATTTAGCAATCCTTATAGCTGTATACATATTCTATTCAGAAGGAACTAACAATCCTTGTATATTGATCTTGCCGCTTTTCAATTGAAGTAAAGCAAGAGAAAAGAGGAAAGACAGCGTAGAGTGATTATAATGGAGTGCAAAAAGACAACTGAAAAAAGGACTTGCAGATTGATTCAGAGCAAGCTTCAGGTATGTCGAATTTTAATATCAGGTCACTTTGATTTGGTTCGCTCCGGAACTGGAAATTAGATGATGAAGGTTCAATTCCAATATGCAAATTCACTTTTTATGATTTTATGGGGATAATTAGTTGTTGATGATAGGTCATAATCATCATATATATGTTATTCCATATTCGCCCATGAATGGTTTCTTTGAGGATATTTTTCCATTTTGGATTTGAGATATTTGTTTATTAGGTGAGATTGGTTGCACCACCTTAAACTTTTCAATTTTAAATTTGACATCTTTGAATTATGTTGTTCTTGAAATCAAGTCTTTTTTATTAATTTATGTGACCGCTATACAAAAAAAATTATATTTTTACATTTTAATTGTATTTTTGGTTTTTTCTTTTTTCTATTGTATAAATACTTTGTTTTTTTAATTGTAGTCGCATGCTTTTCAAATGTGAATTGAAATTCGATATCTTAATTCTTAAATAAATTAAAATTCACGAGAGTTGGCATCTATTTAGTTCATACATCATTAATTTGCATAATACAGATGCATTTATGGTTTTATATTATATATAGTATAAATTGATTTCAATATGTCTTAGAGGCTATTTGATATATATTACAAATTAATATGTTTTAAAGGCTATATTCTTGGATAATACACTTAGTTTTAATTGTATACTTAGACTTATTGTGATTGATGCCTAGATTATTCCAACTTCGAGAAAATATCTTGTCACTTTCTGATTATCAGTCTAACCTTCCGCATGTACCGATCTAGATCTCGGCCTTACTTGAGACGCTTTGAATTATCATTACCGTCTAACGTTTAGGTGAGATGGAGTCTGATCTTAATAGATCCTGGATCTGGTGCTTCCCAACCTTAGACCCGACCCTCAAAAACCCTACATCCGACCTTAGCTCGACATTTAGATGCTTTAGACCCGGTATTAGCCCAACCGTTATGAGTTTGAAACCCGACACTAGCCCAATCCTTGGGGACTTCTAACCTAACACCCACCTGACTTGGGGTTTACCACACCTTAGACCAGAACCGAACTCTACCTCCCAGTGCCTTAGATTCGATCCGGAGCCCCAATTCTATAACAACTCCTAGGCACTCAATTGCCAAACATAAGTTGACAATATAAAAAAACTAGTTTTAAAAACTTTATTGCAAATTTTATCTTTTTTAAAAGCAACAAATGAAAATAAACATGTTTTTACACTTTTTTTTTTTATCAAAACAAAAAATAAAAAACGAAAATGTTTTTTTGAGTTGATAAATTCTTAGACTTTTATTCTGCTGGTGACACTTGGAGGTGGAAAACCTAGCCCTGAACACTGCCGTCTATAAAGAAACGGCGGGCAAGTACCCCACTTTCAAGGATATGAACTCTTCCACCTTGGGAACGACAGTTGGACAGCTGGAAAGAGGCTTGGCCGGTAACCATATTTTAGGTACCAACAGCTGGAAAGAGGCTCGGCCGGTAACCAATTTTTGAGATTAGTTTCTTGAACTATGCTACGATATTTAGACATTTTTATAATGGGAGTATTGGATAATCTAATAATGTTCAGACGAAAATGAGTACATCAGTACTAGTTTCTAGCAACTTCAACAAGTTTTTCTTTTGACAAGATTTTGTTTATATATATATATATATCTGAAACTGTTCTCTGTTTATAAGATCATTTGATTGTCGTAGGCGGTAGGAGATAAATATTCATTGGTGTTTTATCAAAGCAAGCAAATATCTTGAAAAGAACGTTAGTTACATACAGCTCAAGTCAAAATAATAATAGGTCATTAGCAAACAAATTAATTGCTTTTGTTCATTTGCTATTTTGTTTAGCGACCCTTTTATTTTCGTTTGCGTTTTGTTTTTAGTACCGTAAGTCTGAAAGAGGGTATTTTATCATCGTTGATGCTCAGAGTTTTTTCAGCTATGACATGTACCTAAGGTTGATTAAGTGGATTATAAACCTGTACATTGGAAGTACTCCAAATAGATAAATGTCAGTTTGACGGCGTGTCATAACTAAGAAGAATCTTTTTTTCCCCCGAAAAATAAAAAATGGGCAACAAATGTGGCTCCATTTGACCATTAAAAAAAAATTCCGTCTACAGATATCGATCTTATAAAAAAATTTTGTTTGTAATTTTAAGATTTTGTTTTGCATGTTGCAGAAAAGGAAAAGAAGTGGAAAAATAAAATCAAGCATGAAAAGATTGAAAGCAGAGATGGCAGAGATTGGTGAACAGCAGAAACGAGTTAAAAAGGGGCAAATGGAAATAAGAGAGAAGTTTAAAGAGATTGAACTTGACTGTGATCAACTTAAAAAGGAAACATTCCTTATATCGGAACAGGCTGGACGCAATCAACAACGCCTAAGTCTTATGTTCAAAATCGTGAAAGCTCGAGAAAACAACAATTTTTCCGAAGCTGACAAACTTACGCAATCTCTTCGGTTAGTTTTGCCCCTCTCCTCCTGTGTGCGTGTGTGAATCCTTCAATTTGTAATTGGCTAAACCATAAAAGAACATTCAACTTAATCTAGTTTAAATTTTTATCATTTTATCTTTAAAGAAGTATTTTAATCAAACAAGTATGGAGTTCAAGGAATATCAATCAACGCTTTGTCCTGAAAAAAGATTGTAAATCATATCAGAATGTTTAAGAAATCTTCTTATGGTCTGGCTTAATTCGTTATCACAGCTGAAAGATCGCGTTTCAACTGGCTAGTATATAAAATTGTATCAAATGAAAATAAAGTAGGCTCTCGTGGAGTGCAGATCAAAGTTATGAAAATAGGGCGTGAATTAAATTCCCTCAAAACTCAGGAATCTTTTCACCGTTTGGATTTTTTTCTTTGTTGTTAGTTAATTTTTTTTTCCCTAAATCCAAGTTGCTCCTTCAATTTCCCATCCTGATTATTCGTTCATAACCATGCACATTTACTTGTATAAAAACCAAATCCACCAAGAGGCAGAGGAAACAATTAAATGTGGAGAGATAGCCTTAAACCAGCTTTAGAATCTTTAAGGACATTTTGACATGAATCAATATCTATGTCTTAATTGGTTTATAACCCATACAAATGAAGATACACAACTACCTCTTAATTGGTTTATATAAAGTCCATACGGATAAATACACAAATTTACATATTAATTTTTTTATAGGTCATATATTTATAACTCATACAAATAAAGATAATTAACAAATTAATACGCTAGGCTTGATTTTGAACATAAAAGAAGTAATGCCTGCCGACCCAAAGTTTGAGAAACTCATCTTGATAGACTGATGTAGGGACTATCAACATACTTTTATTAGCATTTTTGGAGATATGAAGGATAACAATAGAGGTCAATTGTTACAGAGCCAATTAAATCTCCAGATTGTGAAATGGCTTGTACTATATATATATATATATATATATATATATATATATATATATGCTTTTACTTACTTTTTTACGCTCCTTTTTATTTTATTGCAGAGAATGCCTGATGAAGCACAACATGGAAAACAATATGTGACTATTTGCAGATTCAAGCGATTAAGTATGCAGCCGCTGTCCATTTCAGTATATGAACAGGAGTACTAAAAGTGGCTCCCTGTTTTGGCTTTGAAGTTCTCTAGCTTGCTGTCTTAGAGTGGGAGTGATAAGTTTGTTTGCCATGGGTTTTTTATTAATAAATAAATAAATAAATAAACAAACAAACAAACTCTTAACGTCCATGTATCAGTGTCATTATAATATATAGCATGCTACGCTTCCGCCTAGGTGTTGCAAAAATACCCTCGTGTCCAGCTAACCAGCTCTAGGTGGTGGCAGAATCCATTTGTGTATCTCTAACTTTTTCTATTTGAATGAATTCCTTAGAATCTTTTCAATTTTTTCTGTTAATCGAACAATCATCAACCACTCGTTCCTATTGTGGGGTCTATTTCATATGTATAGTTTTCATCATTATTTTTCGGGCACTATGTTATAGTGTTGTTATTAAGAAAACCAAAAATCCTAAATTCTAAAATAAAAATAAAAAGGAGAAACTTTCCTCTTAAAACATATTAAGAAGGAAAAGAGAAGAATTTGAGAAAATGCTACAGTATCTTATTTCATCAATATCTTCTTTGGTATATATATAAGAAGGATTTTATCCTCTATATCTCATCACTAACTAACAAGTTGTTATATTAACAACTAACTAACCATTAACAACTAACTAACTAATTAATTATCTAAATCATAATTACTTTCTTAATATTCTCTCTCAAGTTGATGGTTTATAGACATCATAAACACCCACTTGGAGAGAGAGAAAATAATGATGTTGTTTATCGCCAAGGTCCTTAGTGAAGATGTCTCGCTACTTGTTTAGTCGTGCTAACTTAAACAATCTTTATCAATCCAGCTTTAAGTTTCTCCCGTACTAAGTGTCAGTCTAAGTCAATATGTTTATTCCTCTTAAAGAAGATTGGATTGGAAGCAATGTGTAGGGTAGCCTTATTGTCATAGTGTAGCTCTGCTATTGCCAAGTTAACCCAAGTTCCCGAAATAAACCAACAAGTCAAACTACAACCGTGACAATAGCTTTGTATTCCGCTTCGATGGAAAAGCGAAAAATGATGTTTTGCTTCTTTGTTTTCCATGACGAGTAGAGAAGAGCCAAGGAACACACAAAAACCAATGAGAGACCTTCTCATAGGACAAGAAGCCTAATCAAAATCAAAGAAGACTCTCAACTACAATTGACTAGTCGAGGAGAGTAAGATACCAAGACCAGGACTCCCTTTAAGATATTTAAGAACCCGTAGAGCATAAGTCATATATGTGTGAAGTCTTAGGTTGATGCATAAATTGGCTAAGTATTTGCACTCGCATAACATATATTAGGCCTAGTGCCGGAAGATAAAAATAAGCTTATCAACCAATCTTTGATATTCCGTTGGATTAGTGAGGATTGAATCCGGAAAATCACTAGCAAAAGACTCATCATATTGTGCTCGAAGTCAATTTTAGGTTCCGTTCCAGTGGCATCTCCACTAGTTTGAACCAAGTAAGCCGGATCATGTAATAACTCCATAGTGTATTTCCTTTGATTAAGGCAAATTCCCTTCTTCGACCTTGCAACCTTTATCTCCAAAAAATATTTCATACACCCAAAGTCTTTAATGTAGAAAGTTTAATGCAAAAAAAATTTCAATGCTTTTATACCTTCTTCATCATTACTTGTTATCAATATGTCATCGACATATACCAACAAAATACCAATCCTATCATTTTTCCTCTTTATGAACATAAAGTAATCATGGTGAGATTGAAAAAAACTAGCAACTAATATTTTTTCAATGAATTTGGAATTCCATTGTTTGGAGGCTTGCTTCAAGCCATAAAGTGACTTAAGAAATCTACACACTAAGCCATCCCTCCTTACTCGAATTGTTTGGAGGCTTGCTTCAAGCCATAAAGTGACTTAATAAATCTACACATTAAGCCATCCCCCTATCGCTTCAAAACCAAGTGGCAAAGACATGTAAACTTCCTCTTTAAGATCCCTTTGATTCTTGAGATTTAGTAGTAGGACATGAGGCAAAATCTGGAAATTGGTCGGTGGGAGATGAACCGGAGGGAATAGAGGAAATAAAGTGATCATCATCATCCTATAACCATTGATGAACATGATTATGAGTGTGAATTTATGAGGAACAAGAGACGAGGAAGGGGAGATTGAAATTGAAACAAGGTGTTATGAAATAAGACATCTCTAGAAACAAAAACTTTTTGAGTTATTAAATCTAACATTTTGTACCCTTTTGGGGAGTAAAGGTAACCTAAGAAAACACAAATTATGGACCAAAGAGTAAATTTGTTTAAACAAGGTAGAATTTTGGCATAGCACGAATAACCAAAAACTAAAAAAAAAAAAAAGAGTAAATAGGAGGCTTGTGAAACAAATTTCAAAAGGATTTTTGCCATTTAGAAGAGGTGTAGGAGTCCTATTGATGATATAAGTGGAAGTCGAACACAATCACCTAAGAATTTCATTGGAATATGAGATTAGAACATAAGGGCTCTAACAATGTCAAGAATATGCCTATGTTGTCTTTCAACTAATCCATTCTATTGTAGAGTATATGTGACGAGTTGTTGCATGTAAAATACCCTTAAAAGAAAAACGGGCTTGAAAAGCATTCTAAAGAAATTTAAAACCTCTATCGGATCTTACCCTATGAACATCACTAGAAAATTGAGTATGACAAGGGAAAAAAAATGTTAAAGTAACTGGAGAACTTGAGATTTGTTTTATAAGAGAAAAGTTCAAGTTCCTCTAGAAAAATCATCAACAATGGATAGAAAAAAATCTTTCTTTACGAAGGTAGGATATTTATATGAACCCCATATATACACATGAATGAGTTGAAATAGAAAATGTGTAATAAAAGTACTATGAGGAAATGGCAATGCGGCATGCTTAGTAAGTGGATAAATATCACAAAAAAAATCATGATCAGAATGTATTGTAATTATAGGAATTAACTTAAGATGTGAAAGAGATACGTGACCAAATCTTTTGTGCCAAAAAGCTACATTAGAAGGACAATCTGTCTTACAATCGGTAGTATTACAAACGAGTATCGATTAATCCGAAAAGGTTTTGCTAATCACATAATTCAAATTATAAGATGTTTTAGAATGGCTACGATGGAACTCGTTCGGGAAGAATTTTGTGAAGTTGAAAAAGTAGTTGGAAAAACATGATAGAGACCTTTGCATGCTTTACCAATCCCTTTTTTCCTTCCATTCCAAAGGTTAGGGTAAAAACATGCGAAGCAATTATTATCGATAGTGAATTTAGCTACTAATAACAAGTTAAATTTGAAAGTTGGTAGATATAACACATTTCGAAGAAAAAATTTGGAAAAACAATAAAGCCTACATGAGTGACTAGACTTACAAAGCCATTAGGTAATCGATAGTAAGATTAGATGCTAATTTTGTAGGATTAACCAAGCAATTGAATCTACCGAGTCATATAGACATTAGTCCCTATATCTACTATCCATACATCATCATTCTCGGATTCTACATTAAGCAAGCTACATAAATATGTACCTTCCATGTTTGTAGTAGGTGTCATAGGTTAAATATTCTCCTCCGAATCTCTAGATAATAGATCAAGTATCCGTTGATATTGATGAGCGAGAGAAAAATGGTGTAAAGCCCTTATTTGTTGAGGTGTTCATGGAACTTTGCCCTACAAGTTGTTCGAGTGAAGCTCTTGAAAGATGACTATCATACAACATAGCTGGTGCATTAGAACTCTCTCCAAGACAGTTTATATTTTAAGCATTAACGAAATTTTGCCTACCTCTAACACTTGCGGAACCACCTCTTCTCCTCTATTATTTCCAAATGGTTTTTGAAGACCATATGGATATCCATAGAGCTTGTAATAAGTATCATTCGGATGACCAAGTACATGACAATAATCAAAAGTAGCTTCTCTTTTATACTACTTCATTGATTACCGATTTCTAGAAGAGTAAAATGCAATAGGAGCACCTGGAATTGTATCGATACCTCTCTATGATTCTTCATTAGAAACCATGAAATATGCTTGAGAATGAGTTGGCATAGGTTGCATCAATAGAATCCGAGACCTCGCAGATTGAAAAACATCATTCAAAACCTATTAGAAATCGCATCACCTTGTGCTATTGTGTGTACGCAATAAAAGGTTAAGAGATTTGATTGTGACAATGTGGGTAGATACAAGTAGGTGGAGGAATGAGAGACTCAAGTTGATCCCAAAAATGCCTTAACTTCGAGAAATATGCTACCACGAGTATTCGATCCTTGAACTAATGAATTAATCTCCTTAGGTAGGGAAAAAAATATTTGCTCCAAGTTGCTTGTCAAACCTTTCTTTGAGATTTTCCATACATCTTCAGCATACCGATAATAAACCAAGATGCTCGAACAATTAGGCGTAAACGAGTTGAGTAGCCAAGCATGAACTAGTCCATTACACTTCTTCTATTGAGCAAAATCGGGTGAATCGGAACTCGGTCTTGAGCACCTTTCATTAATAAAGCCATCATTGCTTTTTGCTTTCAAAGAGATTACCATTGCTTTACTCCATGAACTATAATCGTCCTCTCCTCGGAGTAAGTGAGTAACAAAGATTAAATTTGGTGTGTTAGAAGGTTGTAAAAATAAAGGATCATTAAGATCCCTATGAGTAATAGATTGTGTGAAATTGGAGATTGTAGTTTGATTTTTCATAATTTGAAGAAATTTTCTTGAGAAAAATATGAATATGCTAAACATTGAGATACGAACAAGATCTTTAAAAAAAAATCCAAAAAAAAAAAAGATTTAAGACAATGTGAATAAGGAGATTGAAAAAGAAACTCAAGAATCTTGAGAAAGAAAATCAAGATTTTAAGTAAGAAAGAGAAAATTTTCTCGGAATCCAAAGAGGAAAAGGAATGCTCTAATACCATGTTAAAAAGGAAAAGAGAAAAACTTCAGAAAATGTTACAATATCGTATTTCATCGGTATCTTCTTTGGTATATATACAAGGAGGATTTTATCCTCTACATCTCATCGCTAACTAACAAGTTGTTATATTAACAACTAACTAACCACTAACAACTAACTAACTAATTAATTATCTAAATCATAATTACTCTCTCAATAAAACACAATGTTAGTCTTTTTCTCTTTATTATTATTATTTTTAGATTATTATGTTTTAGAATTTCTTAATAACTCAAAAAAAAAAAAAAGGATGATGGATTTTTCTACCAAAAATATGATTTAAATCTTCCTATTTACTTCATCATTTTCGTTTTTGTTTTATTTTCAAATTTTATTTTTCTTTCTTTCCTTTTTTTCCCTCAATTATATGAACATAGTGGATCTCATAATAAAGATGTCATATGTCTATTTAACAAACACTATAAAAAAATTGAACAAATCCTAGTAAAGACCCCTAATTGGAAAAAAAAAAAATAGAGGTATTGACCGAAATAAAATAATGCAAGTTAAGATACAATTAATAGAAAAAAAAGTTATAAACACTCAAATGAAAAAAAAGAAAGTAAAAACAGTTGATTAAAAAAATTATATAAGTACAAGAACTAAGTTTTTCATTACCTCCATACTTTTGCCTATAGTATTGTTTGACAAATTCATTTTGTAACTTTAATTTAGGCAATTGAGTCTTGATAGGTTGGCCTATTAAGAAGTAGAGGTCCCTCGTTCACAATCAAACTAATTTTTCATTAATTTTTTTAAAAAAAGAAGAAGGAGGGACACAAGTAAAATTTCTAATAGCACTCATTTAAAAGAATAAAAGCCGATTAAAAATTCAAAAACATATTAAAACAAAATTTGCTATTTTTTTATTTATATACCACTCGGAATTTTTTTATTTACCAAATAAGTTTTTTTTTTAAATCCTCGAAATCTCAAACCCAAAAGTTCAAATCAATTCCTCGTTATTCACTTAGATGTACAAGACAAACACAACTATCCAAAGAGTTTTTTACGTAAATAAAGATTCGAACTCAAGACTACTTAGTTAAGCGACTATAACTCTTTTCAATTTAACCAACTCTCTTGAGTTATTACATAAATAAGTTTGATTTAATAATCTTGTATTAAGTAGTTTTTTAAAAGAAATAAAGTTTGAATTTTAATAACTTTAATAAATTCTCGCAATAATATAATAAGAAATAATTGCCCACTCTATAGTTTATTAAAGGACCATCTCACTTATAGGTAAGGCCTCATAATATAATTTATATTAGTCTCTAATACACCCCTTCAAGTGAAAGCCCCAACATTTAGGCTTGAAACTTGTACGAGTCTTCATTACCTTATGCTTAATACTTGAGAAATTGAGGATGGTGAGTCTTAAACTCGGGACCACATGGTCAACTAAGCTCCGATACCATATTAAAGGATCATCTCACCTAAAAGCTTAAGCTCGATAAGTAAGGTCTCGGAATATAATTTATATTAGTCCCTAACATAGTTTAAAACTTATCAAACATTCCAAAGAAAAAACAAAAAAAAGATCTTCCTTGGTAAAAGTAGTTAACGAGTGCACTCATTTTAAAGAATGGTATTCAATAATATTTCATTTTGACCCTCCTAATTCGAGTTCTTAATAATGTAACCTTGTAATTTTCAAAACGAGTTGTAATGGAACAAAACAAAATATCCATTTTTTCTTCTTCCTTTTATTTCACTTGTCTACGAAATAATAAGAAAAAGGATATTTTTGACATATATCATGCCGACATGTTAATTTTTTTTCCATGTCATGCTGGAATAGTTCTTTTTTAAAAAAGATTATTATGGGTGAGTGAGCATTAATGTGTCTCCTATCCTTGACACATATCATGCCGACACGTCATTTTTTTACATGCCAAACATATGACAAGTATTGTGCTAACATGTTTTCAAAAAAAAAACAAAAAAAAAAACAAAAAAAAAGATAAAAACTGTTGTGTGGGATAATTTAGAGAAGATTTAGAACATTCATTTATTTATTTTTAAAAAAGGAAAGATTCGGAGAAATAGATGAGCAAGTCGATCATGAAAAAAAATGATATCGGTTAAAATTATAATGTTTGGAATTGCGAGAATGAAAATTAAGGTGAAAATGAGAATAAAAATTGAATATAATTTCATTCTCATGGAGGAAGCGGAATAAAAATAAAGAATAAAATTGAAATTTATTTTTCTTTCAAAATAGTGATATATTATTTTACTTTATTATATATTAACTATTTTTACTACAATCACCACCTTCGACCTCCACCATCACTACCACCATAACTACCATTTACGGATGGTGATAAAATTTTTTTTGAAATAATAATAATATTATTATTATTTTATCATCGCTATCATTTTTATTATCCCATCATAGTTGTCGCCAATATTAGTGGTGGTGAAAAAAAATTAAAAAAAATTATTATTATTATTATTATTATTATTATTATTATTCTCGCCACCATTCTTTTTTTACCACCACCATCATTTGTATTATACCACTATCACCATTATCGTTCCTTTTTCACAAGTAACCTCCTATGGTAGTGGTATCAAATTTTTAAAAAATATATTATTATTATTTTTATACTACTATCATCACCACCACCTCCTCAATTCTCCTCCTCCTCCGCTACCACTCTCACAATAATCTCTATTTTTTTTCTATTAATGAAATTATTTTTTTAATTATAATTTTTATTCTTCATAAAAAATAAATATTAATTTTTTCAAAATTTATTTTGATTTTCTATTATTATTTTAAATACAGTATAAGAATGAAAATATCATTCTATTTTTTTAATTTGCATTTCGATTCTTGTATTCTCATTCTAACTAGTTTATTTTTAATAATCAAATGATATTTTAATCATTTTTTTTATGGTTGCATTAAATATTTTTGTGTAGTTTTTTATTATTATTATTAGTAATATCCTTTCCATTGATATCGTTGCATTGATTTTTTTTTTCCTTATGATGCTTCATTTGGTTTTTGCTTTTTATATTAATTAGCTTTTAATGTCTACATTAATAATAATGATGTTGGATGCAATAGTTTCTTTTTTATTGTTGATTATTTAACCTCCATTAATTGGTCTTTAATCTTTGAAGGCTAAAATAATTTTAGCATGTAATGAGATGTGTGCTTCTAACATATGATATGTGTCATGAAGAAGTTGGGTTTTTATTTTTTTATTGTCGTGTCATATAAGAATAACTGACTTTTAATATTTTCTTTGGAAAGTAGAAAAACATGTTAGAAAATTAAATATGCTTAACCATATAAGCGCAAAGAAAATTAATAGGATTCATACCTCTTGCCATGATTGATTAACTCGCTTAGGATATTGCTTGAAAGAAAACTGGAGCCGTCAAGGAAAGAGAGCCTTCTAGTCTATGCCAATACTTTAGAATTTTATGTGTTAATGAAAAACACAAGCTTTACTTACTATTTATATGGCTAGACTAGATACTCTTTCTTTAATGTAATTTTGCACCTCCATCCATCATGGATGTGCCTAGCTCACAACCAAAGTCCATTGAGCTCTAAGTCTTTAAATTGTCACTTATAGATTTAAAACAAACATGACATATGGGCCACACTATAGAATATTTTTCACATTCTCCCACTTGACCCATATGACACTCCCAAAAATGATAATTGCTTTCTAGAGTCCAAAATGATTAGTTAGTGGAAACACTCATACTTAGATTAAGA